ATTGAATAGAGTTACTGTATTTGTGCCAAAATTTGAATGGTTTGTAGAAAAACATAATAATTTAATAATAAAACATTTAATAATAATAGTTTAATGATTAATAATATTTTTGGACAAACAATAAAATCAATTTTATTCACAAATAGATAAATAAAAATGAAATTAATGTAAGAAATGGTATATAATTTAGTGCATCAACTTTGGGTTTGTGTTATGAATTAAATTGTATAACATTTGAAGGAAAATCATTGGCCCAAATCCAACGCAAACGTTAAATCCAAACGTTGTTTCGCTAATAATTTATCCCTAATTTATAAGATTAGCGCAAATTCATAATTAATGTGAAAAGTATGCGAGGATCCTTATAATTTACAACTTTATCATACAAGTGGTGAGCGTTAGCCCTGAGCACTGACAGATTTTTGTTCATTTTATGACTTTGCTGTGCAAATATGTAATTGATATTCAATTACAAATTGTTAGCATATTTTAAATATTGTTTTTGGCGATTTATAAAATGACATGCCTATGAATTGTCATAAATTATATACATTTATTAACAATGACAATAACCATAACCCTAATAACCAGGATAACATTGGAACTGACAGTTTGTGAGTTAATCCCTACTTGTAACATACTCATTAAAAGTTAATATTAGTAATTAGGTTTCCGTAAGTGTGTATTTAGTTTGATTTTCATTTTTATTTTCGTTTTATTTATATTATTAACACACTGACTTACTTATGTTACACAATTTTGCAATGAAAATCAAAAAGTTGTTCAAAAGTTTTGTTTCGAAGGCATTAGTGCTGTGAACACCTCTACTCTCTCGTTGTGCACAGCGTTTGCGTCCATCTCTACAGTCGTTGTGTTTTTTGTGGTCAAAGAGAGCGACCATTGATTGTCAACAGAAGTGATGGCATCTCAAGACTTTTATCTCCGGTATTATGTCGGACACAAAGGCAAGTTTGGACACGAATTCCTCGAGTTTGAGTTCAGACCTGATGGTAAGCATACGGCCGTTGACAGAGAGAGAGAGAGAGAGAGAGAGAGAGAGAGAGAGAGAGAGAGCGAGAGAGAGAGACCGGCATTGATGTTCATGTGTCTAATGGATGTGTTTGTGGTGATGTCTTAGGGAAGATGCGATACGCGAATAACTCGAACTACAAGAACGACACAATGATCCGGAAGGAGGCGTTTGTCCACAAATGCGTTCTCGAAGAGCTCAAGAGAGTGATCGAGGACTCGGAGATCATGGCCGAAGACGACGCCCTGTGGCCACAGCCCGACCGCGTGGGTCGACAGGAGCTGGAGATAGTGATCGGCGACCAACACATCTCATTCACGACCAGCAAAATCGGGTCTTTGGTTGATGTGAACCAAACGTTTCTGTGCCTTCCGAACTCTACAAAGATAATGAACCAAGTCCTGGAGTTCACAAACCAGAAGAGCGACTAGCGAGAAGTGAAGTTTTAGTTTGGGTAAATCTGTAGCTCAGTGACTTCTGCTACCCTCAGATGATGGCTATTCTGCACATGAGACTTATTCTTCATGTCTTTTGTATTATCATTTAATCCGACAATTATTTCCAATTATACAGTAATTATTTGGTTTGAATTAAAAAATAAATTACTTTTCAATTGATTTGTGTTGAAAACAAAACGATTATTTAATTTAAAGAAATAATACTTTTATTTACAAAGAATTAAATGGTCTTTAAATTAAATTCACTAAACATTAAATAATAATAATAATAATAATTTGAGACAAAATAAGAGATTAACATATCGGTGAAGTGACTCAATACACGTGAACCATACCGTAGAGGAATGTCCAGAAGAGGACATAAGTGGTGAGCCCTCCGAACAGACCGTTGGTCAGTATCTGGCGGCGAGACGTGAAGTATTTGGTCCAATGATTGCCGACATTGACGATAATTATAAGCCATAATACGATAGCCATGAGGAAGTAGAAGGCAAAGCCGTACAAAGAGGTGAGACCTATGATACCGGCGGCGGAACCGCTCAACGCAGACATGGATGTGCGGCAGTACTCTATGATGTTATGGTTGGTGGCCATCGCTAAGGGAGAGAAGGCCACCACTCCCTCCTGACCCGTCGCACCCTCGCGACGCGACCCCCGACTCTGGCTCTGACTCGTCTGACCCGTCATTGCGTCNGCAAAGACACGGAAGGCTTGAGATGTTTCTATTACTTGGTTCAGGACCTCAAGTGTTTGGTCTTCTCGCTGATCGCTCTTCACTTCAAAATCAAACCCATTTAGACATCGAGTCACTGAAGACGATGGATGCCTCAGATGATGGCTATTCTGCACATCAGACTCTTATTCTTCATGTCTTTTGTATTATCATTTAATCCGACAATTATTTCCAATTATTTGGTTTCAATTAAAAAATAAATTACTTTTCAATTCATTTGTATTGAAAACAAAAACATTATTTAATTTAAAGAAATAATACTTTTATTTACAAAGAATTAAATGGTCTTTAAATTCACTAAACATTAAATAATAATAATAATAATAATTTGAGACAATATAAGAGATTAACGTATCGGTGAAGTGACTCAATACACGTGAACCATACCGTAGAGGAATGTCCAGAAGAGGACATAAGTGGTGAGCCCTCCGAACAGACCGTTGGTCAGTATCTGGCGGCGAGACGTGAAGTATTTGGTCATATCGGTGAAGTGACTCAATACACGTGAACCATACCGTAGAGGAATGTCCAGAAGAGGACATAAGTGGTGAGCCCTCCGAACAGACCGTTGGTCAGTATCTGGCGGCGAGACGTGAAGTATTTGGTCCAATGATTGCCGACATTGACGATAATTATAAGCCATAATACGATAGCCATGAGGAAGTAGAAGGCAAAGCCGTACAAAGAGGTGAGACCTATGATACCGGCGGCGGAACCGCTCAACGCAGACATGGATGTGCGGCAGTACTCTATGATGTTATGGTTGGTGGCCATCGCTAAGGGAGAGAAGGCCACCACTCCCTCCTGACCCGTCGCACCCTCGCGACGCGACCCCCGACTCTGGCTCTGGCTTTGACTCGTCTGACCCGTCATTGCGTCCGATTGTCTTCACTATTATATCAATCAATGGTGACAATAGTGTCTGCACTCAATCAATGGTCACGCGTTGTGTGATTAGTCGGCAAAACTCCCGCACGAGTGGGCAGTCGATGGCAATACAGACAGTGAGTCATAGGGAATGAGTACTCAATCAAACACAACACAAATACAGCCAAACAGTCAAACACTGCATTCAATGCTTACATGTATTTCGTCACTAAATTCATTCACTTTAACCGGTCTTTCGGTATTCAATAAGTTTTGTTGATTTGTATTAATTATTCATTAGATTTAATTCAATTATAGATTAGTAAAGATATCGGTCTATGATTTAAACGATAATCAATGCAAACATTGTTGTCATTTACTGATTGTTTGATTGATACAAACATTGAAAACAAATCGTTGTTTTTGTGCGAAGTGTTGCCAAAAGTTGATCACATTTTGCGAAACTAAATGTAAACACAATTTAAATTAGTTTTGAATTAATTGTGGGAAATGTCTGTAATGTTGTCATTGAGGACATGGAGGCGATTGATGCCATCGAAAGACATATATCTGAGACAAAAGCATATGATTTCCTATTTGTTGACAAAACTAAACGATAGGAAACTAATTGGTGTGAAAGGAGTCGATTCTTACGATTACATCCAGGGTTTGATCCATTCAGTGATCTTCTGTGGACACCTAAGTGTCTAATTATCTGTACATTGATTGCTGCACAGGTTTGGTGACCAATGATGTCAGACATTTGTGTCCAACCCTTGAGACGAGTGTCACTCACGACTGCATCCACTCTTTTATGTTAAACACATCCGGAAGAGTGATAACCGATGTCTTTGTCTATAAATGCGATGAAATTGATGTTAAAACAAAACAATTGTTTATTGAAATTGATTCACAATTACTGGAATCGATCACAAAGTTCTTGAAGTCCTATAGAATTCGCCGAAAAGTCGATATCGATGTGAGAAATGACTTCGAGGTTTGGTCTCTATTTCCAAGTGTCTCCCAATTTGATGACAAAACCATTAATGAATTGTCTGAATGTGAGACCAGTTTTGAGTCTTTGAATACCAAAGACTTGATGGCAGTAAGAGATCCGAGACTTAAAGAACTCGGGTTTCGGTTATTAGTTAACAATAAACTCAATGATAACGAGAATGATGTGAAAGAAAGGATTAAAAACTTTCTGAACTCAAAGTCCGTTGAATATAACGAAACAAATGGCGATAATTACGTGAAATATCGGTATCGTTTGGGTGTCGGCGAAGGCGTCAAAGACTTTCCCATTGAGTCCTGTTTTCCACTCGAATGTAACGGAGATTTTCTTCACGGAATCAGTTTTCATAAGGGTTTCCATAATTTGTTTGACTTTTTCTTTGAGTTATCATAAATCTCTTCTACCCTCTAATGAGTGTAATTGTCTTATAGGCTGTTATGTGGGACAGGAGTTGACGGCACGTATATATCACACGGGAGTCATTCGTAAGCGACTTATGCCCATAGAAATAATTGGTGACAAAGAAGTGCCGCAAAGTATAGCCATTCAGACCGTCACCGCAGATGAGTCCAAAAATGTGGGCAAATTTCGATGCAATAGCGGGACCTATGGATTGGCTCTCTTGCGGTTCGAGGATTGTCTCAAATCTGATAAATTGCTTTTGAGTGAAAGCGGGCTAACCATCCGATGCACTAAACCCTTTTGGTGGCCAAAAGAGCACAGAATCGACCACAAGAATATCGTTAAGAACTCATAACCTGTTGCACGACTGACCTCACAATCATATACTCTTTTAGTAAAACATTGTCTTAGAAAATGATTTATAAATTGTTAACTAATATTAAATGAAAAATTAACTCAAATTTAAATTAAAGTTTCGATAAGTTTGCAGAAAATGTTTGCAAAGTTTGTGTGCATTTGCAGTCATTTATGAGCGAACCATTGCTTTCAATACAAAACACTTTTTATCTGATTTTCAAACACTTGACAAGAATTTGTGATTAAAATTGATTTGAAATGCAATTTATTTGCCGAAGAAGTGCCGCAATAGTGAGACAATCACTCGTCAGTTGTCACAACAGGCGATGTCTGTCCACGAGTGACAGGTCGACCACTGATGACCAAAACCAAAGTGATATCTACGACCCGGTGTCCAATGATCTGGAGATTCCTTCATCTCTACGGCAAAGACAGGAATCGATTGATATGAAGAGGAAGAGACTGTTATATCAAAGCAGAAAACGAGGTATTT